TTGGAGTCGTTTAAAATATAACAGGTTTTTTATTCAAGATAATAACTGTGTTTTTAATGCGTTGTTCTCAAATATTTTTTTCGCCTTCTACGGGCTTTGTTTTTTTTTAACAGGTATTGTTTCTTCCATAGTTAGAAAGGAATTCCAAATTATTAGTCTCTGACTCGATTATTTACATATTTTCATGGTCATTTTGATAATGAGGACACCTTAATTGTTACGTTAGTGGAACGTGCGGCATATAATAAGAGAAGCACATGAGTCATTCTTTTCTGAGTAGTATTTTTTAAGAATACGATACGAATAAGATATTATGTAGATGAACAAAAATTTTGAGGATTGTGTCGAATTTGGATTACAAATTATTGCCATTAAATTATATGTATTCATTCATCGTACTAACATTTATTGATTTAATTTAAATTAATACAACTTTTTGTCAAGGTGAGTAACTGATTTAAATTCTGTTTTTATAGTATCATCTTCCTAATGTTGATGAATGTGGTGTAAATTAATATCCCATATTCTTGTGTTTTTATATTATTTAAAAATAACTTTCTTATTAATGATCTTAAATAATAAAGACGTTATGTAGATAATTAATCATATGCATATCAAATTAGTAGAAAAGCAACGGTGTGGCAAAGTTCTAGTTCTGCATTCCACAAAATTACATTATCTTAAAGTTCAGTTTCACTATCTACAAGTTACAGCATCAATTAAAGAATAACTTTGTGCTTACGAAGAGATGTAATAAGATTCTATACTTATCGAATACGCGTTCAGTAAAAGCTCCCGAAGCAGCTTCAATTAAAATTTAATTATTTCCAGATTCTTGGAATTGCTGCGGTTGCTATTGTTGGATATTATTATAACACTTATTATCAGCTAAAAGTACCAGAGACATTCTTCCTATTGATCTTCACAACGTTCATGATAGGAACGTTTTTGATTTTATTCTCCTGTCTTATATCTCTTTCTACCGCATCTATACTCTCGAAAACCGTATATGTGAGTATCACTTTTAATTTATTCTTTGATAACATAGTAACATTAGTTAAAAGTTTTTCTAATATTAACAGGGGCAGTCACATAACTAACTTTCAATATTGACTTAAAAATCATCCAAATATAAGCAAAAAGAAATGTTATAAACATAATTAATTCTCCACTTAAACATTATTTGCTTAAACATTACTAACATACCTGATGTGATTCAAATTTTAGGCATTCTAGTGACAGAGGTTCTTGGGCCTTATTGAGTAATTTCATGCTCCTGTAATTAAAAATATTTTTAATTTTTGCTGAAATTGACTGTACTTNCATAAAATTTTGTTTTCCCTTCCTCTCGAAGTCCAAAACCTCTATTACTTAAAATAAAAACCCTCTATAACTTAAACGCATCGCACTTCAGCAAGCAGTGAAAAGTAGTTTAAATCGGGAGAAAGTCCTATGTAAAAGACAAAGAATTGCTGAATTTTTCCTAATTTCACTGGAAATCCATAATTTTAAAGCTTAAACTTTCACCCTTAGTAAGTAAAAACCTCAATAACAAGAATTGCTGAATTTTTCCTAATTTAGAAGAATACTAGTTTACATGGTTTAGACAATGTAGAAATATGTAAAAACATTAGTGTTAGTAGACCTATTCTAAAGGAAAAAGCTTGCTAAGTCACTGGAAATCCATAATTTTAAAGCTTAAACTTAAACCCTTAGTAAGTAAAAACCTCAAAAACTCGAATTATTTTATATTTCCCTTGGTTTTTATCTTATCCAGGTTGTTCTGTATCTATCACGGAATCATGTTTCTGTGTTTAATTGGATGTATTTTCAATTAATAAATAATCATGCAGAAAGCAGCAAAATTGCAACATTCTAACTGTCATCACAGTTAAACATTTATAAATAAACCAAAAGGCGACTCACCCTATAATTACCATGAAACTTATCCCTGTAGATATTTGTGTATCGCTCATTTATAATGTGCACATTATCATTGGGAATGTTAAAAATGTCCACATTGGAAATGGGATAAACATGTGTCTGCAGTGAAAAAGCGTTGCAGTAGTAAGGGTGAAATCAATTTGGTTTACTCATCTTTTATTCCTTTATCACAATCTCTACTACTTTAAATATTTATGTTTAATGATAAAAAGATATTTATTTTTTTTAGGAATCTGTCTACCACGGTTTTGCATGCCTTTTGTGCTTAATTGCTGGACTGGTCCTTCTTATAGAAGTGAATCATTATAAGAGAAGTTACGGGAATATGTATGAGTCATATTTTGCAGCATCAGTAAGTAACAAAAATTTTTCCGAAAAAACTAATCAGAATATGATATTTAAGCCGATCGGAAAATTTACGGAGAAACCTTAAAATTGTTTTGATTGTTTCGTTTTTACTTCAAAATGAAAATCCCCCAAGATTTGCGTTAGATTTCGTCTCGCACAGAAGACTACAAAAACAAATTTTCTGAAAGTATCTCATAAATCGCTGTAGGTACTATTATTACTAATAGTACTAGTTCTTCTCCCATAACAGTCACTGTGAGCTCGAAACTGTTAGCACCATTGCTTCCGGTGGTCGAAATTCACTTTTGTAAATAATACTATGACGTAGTGTCGGCCATCATTCTTTTCTAATTGTTGCTGTTGTCGGCCATCATTCTTTTTCAATTGTTGTCGCATTGTCACCGATGTCGGCCATCATNATTTTTTTTTATATATAATATTCAGAAGAGAATTTTCTATAAGAATACTCTTATACATATTTTCTCTTTTTCTCTAAAATGAAACCTTGCTAAGCTATGGTCACGAAAACATTGGGATTCTTAAACACTAGTGAGACTTTCCTTTTTAATTATTTTGCATGCGTCAAAAAGGGATTTCTCTTCTCATTTTCCCACTAACATGTGGTAGTGTACATGGCGAGTTCTTTTATGGGGTTCCAATTCGGGTGTCTAATCTACAGCGCTTCTGATTTTTATTTCTACATTAAAGACAAGTTGAAGGCTTTTGATTGACTATCAAGTACTGAATTGTTGGAGGTTTTTTATTAGTTTCTCCAGCAATGGATGAGTTAGATGTTTTTTGCGGAACAATTTCTTCGTCAGTATTGGTAACAAATATTTGAGCAAACACGCTCAGCTTCCCCTAATCGCCACTAAAGATAGCGCTCTACAAATACTTCATAAATCCATATCCTGTAAATGTACAAAAAGGTGCAGTTGCAGGGCTTTATTTCAGAGAAACTATGTATAGGGCTTTTCTTATAGGAAATTTACTCCTGAATGTTAGTAATAATAACTGCAGCGATTAAAGATATATTGTCAGAAAAGCTGATGTTTTCGACATCTTTTGAACAATATGACGCCGAAAGCAGACCTCATCGAAGGGAGAAAAATTGAAGTAAAAACGGAACAATTAAAAGAGTTTCCAGTTTTTCCGGTAATATTTCCTAATACGGTCTTTGTCGACTCACTGGTGACTGACCCAATTCGCATTGTACCTATCTTTCTTTCAGGTCATTGGTTTAGTGTTGGCAGCTTTATATCTCATTAGCTCTATTTTTGCTATAAGAGGCTACCGAGGGCTATAAAATCATTTACTTCTAAAACGAAAAATATTCAACTGCCATATTAACGGAAAAATATTTTTCTAGATCATCTACTTTTTTTACGACTTTGTAATATTATACCGCCACATAAGAATCTACTACTGTATTAACACTGTACCTAATCGTTTAATGTTGTCCGCCTAATTGTTTAATGTTAAAAATTAAAGACATAGATTTTCGTTATTATTGTTTTTTTTTTCATTTGCTTTCGTTTATTTTTCTTTTTTCGTTTTTGTGATTTTTTTGCAGTAAAGCGATATAGGCCTTCTATGTGTCTCTATCCAGGTAATGTCAGATTTAACAATCAGGGGCCCGTCATGTTAGAGTAGACCAAGGTAATTTACAAAATTTATACAAAATACTGTACTTATAAAAATATGTTATCTATTTTCGGGGAAAAAAACGGTTTTAAATTTTCTTTGTGCTGCTTTCGCCTAAAAAAGTATAGTAGGGCTCCGGCTGTATACCCTAAATTTTCTATTGCGTTTTATTGGGTTTTCTCTGATTTTGGTGTTCCTCTTAAGGCCTAACTATGGAGAAATGCGAGATGATAGGACTAAAATGACAAATTAAAGTCAAAACAATATGAGTATAAAGTAGGAAATGAGATAAGAATGTAAATGTAACGATATAGAAAGAAAAACTTGAAGTTAGAATACAGAATCGGCATTACTCTTACGCAAAGATGGTGAGGGGTTCCGTGACTAAGTCACACTAGACAAGGAAATTAAATTCAACCATATTTTTGTGGAGACATGAGCACGGGCTCAAAATGCCCTTTATGTTTTTGGTTTTGATTTCCATAACGTTTTAAATGTTTAAATAAATGAAGCAAACCTATATATCTTTTATATTTATTTTTAAAATGGGTTTTTGTTAATCGCAATAATAATAACGAGACTGAACTAAATATTCAAATGAGCCTTATTGTATAAATTATTATTTAATGAAACCATCATGTCATTTATTATTTAACAATAACTGTATTTTTATATTTAAATTTTATATTTAAAATTGTGACATAGATACATGTAGGTACCTATATATATTTATATGGTTTGGTGTCAATGTTAAATTAATTTGGGATCCCTCCAAAACCCCAAATTTAAACAAAAAAAAAAACAAAATGAAACACAGGGACGTATCCAGGACGTCTATTATTTTTATTTTTTTAAGTGTGAAACATTTCGGCTGCTCTCAATCCTAACAGCTCTCAAGTAAAAAAAATCAACAAACAAAACATCCTATTTTTTTATGTTTAAGGGCGATTAAGGCCGAAACGAATTGCACTTCAAAAAGGTAGTCCTGGATATGTCTATAAACAACAAGGCATTGCCTAACTACAACTGAAATACATACTTTAAAATAATATTAATAATGAGGATCCCTAATTAGATTTAGTATTATAATGTCAATGTACTCTAGCAGTAAACATTCGTTAATTTGTTTTTTATTGCTAATGTGTAG